AGACACACAGAGAGAGACGGAGGATAGAGAGAGAAACAAAAGGAGAAGGAAGAAGAAAGACAGAAAGAGAGTAGAGAGAGAGAGAGAGAGAGGAGAGAGAGAGAGAGAGAGAGAGAGAGAGAGAGAGAGAAAGAGAGACACACAGAGAACACAGAGAGAGACACAGAGCACAGAGAGAGAGAGAAAGAGAGAGCCACAGAGATAGACACAGAGAGGGACACAGGGAGAGACACAGAGAGAGACACAGAGAAAGACACAGAGAGAGAGAGAGACACAGAGAGAGAGAGAGAGAGAGAGACACAGAGAGAGAGACACAGAGAGAGAGAGAGACACAGAGAGAGAGAGAGAGAGACACAGAGAGAGAGACACAGAGAGAGAGAGAGACACACACAGAGAGAGACACAGAGAGAGACACACAGAGAGAGAGACACAGAGAGAGAGACACAGAGAGAGACACACAGAGAGAGAGACACACAGAGACAGACACAGAGAGAGACACGAGAGAGCCACAGAGATAGACACAGAGAGAGACACAGAGAGAGAAGGGAGAGAGAGGGAGAGAGGGAGACAGAGAGACAGAGAGACAGAGAGACAGAGAAAGAGAGAGAGAGAGAGAGAGAGAGAGAGAGAGAGACAGAAAGAGACAGAGACACAGAAGAACACAAAGAGACAGAGACACAGAGACACAGAGACACAAACACAGAGAGGCAGAGAGACAGAGATATAGAGGGAGAGAAAGACAGAGAGACTAGAGAGACAAAGAGGCAGACAGAGAGACAAAGAGACAAAGAGACAGAGCAACAGAGAGAAAGAAAGAAAGAGAGAAAAAGAGAAGATCTGAGAGCCGGGTGGCCGGAAGCAACCCAACAAAAAAGACAATTTGGCCAGGTTATGACGCGAGAACTTTGAGCGAAGATCTGAAGAACCCCCCCCCCCCCCCCACCACCCCCCCCCCAATTTCGGCAAAATTCGAGGACTTCCGGGCCGCGCCGAGAAAGGACCGGGACTGGCGCAGCCGCTCGCCGCAAGCACGATGGCACGACGATTCGGCCGGAGAACCGCTACAACGGGTCTGCGGCGCACGCGAAATGCGACCCCGAGGGGCCGCTTGCGCGGCGGCATGGCAAAGAAAGCCAAGCCCAGCAGAGCCACTGGAGCCTGCGGGCACGGCAGTCCAGGCAAGGGCATGCGACAAGAGAGTATGACAAGAACAGCCGGGTTTCGGCAGACCTGGGAACTCTGCAAACAGAGCAACGAAGCCTCATGCGCATGGACTCCCGGGCGTCGCGAAGCGTAGGCAAGGTGCTTGCAACCTGAGCTGGATGCAGGCATGGATGTAAACACCACGCGCCCGGCACGAAATTTTCCGGATTTGGCCCGTTATTTTTTCGGAAAGCCGCCAAATTGTGAAGAAATTTGCGGGGGTTACGTCCGGAGATCTGAGAGCTGGGTCGCCGGAAGCGACCCAAAATTCGGGAAAATTTGGCCGGGTTGAGCTCTGAGCGAAGATCCGCAGAACCCCCCCCAAATTTGGGCAAATATTCGGGGACTTCCGGGCCGCGCGAAGATTGCGCCGCGGAGAAAGGACCGGGACGGGCACAGCCGCTCGCCGCAAGCACGACGATTCGGCCGGGGTACGCTGCAGCGGCTCCGCGGTGCATGGGAAATGCGACCCCGAGGCCGCACCGGTTTATAGGAGAAAAACAAGACAGAGACAGATAGACAGAAACAAACAGAGACAGACAAAGACAGACAGACAAACAGAAACAGACAGACAGACAGACAGACAAACAGAAACAGACAGACAGACAAACAGAAACAGACAAACAGAAACAGACAGACAGACAGACAGACAGACAGACAGAGAGACAGAGAGACAGAGAGACAGAGAGACAGAGAGACAGAGAGACAGAGAGACAGAGAGACAGAGAGACAGAGAGACAGAGAGAGAGAGAGAGAGACAGAAAGAGACAGAGACACAGAAGAACACAAAGAGACAGAGACACAGAGACACAGAGACACAAACACAGAGAGGCAGAGAGGCAGAGATATAGAGGGAGAGAAAGACAGAGAGACAGAGAGCAAAGAGGCAGAGAGGCAGACAGACGGAAAGACAGAGAGAAAAAGAGGCAAAGAGACAAAGAGACAAAGAGACAGAGCAACAGAGACAAAGAAAGAAAGAGGAAAGAGAGAAGATCTGAGAGCCGGGGCAACATTCGAGGACTTCCGGGCCGTTCGAGAAAGGACCGGGACTGGCACAGCCGCTCGCCGCAAGCACGACGGCACGACGATTCGGCCGGAGTATCGCTACAACGGGTCTGCGGCGCACGCGAAATGCGACCCCGAGGGGCCGCTTCCGCTTTTTTTTCCAAAAAAAAACCTAAAAAATAATACTTCAAAATGTCTATTTCTCTTCATTCCTTATTCATTAAATTATACATTTCAGACATTTAAATTGTATTAGTATAATTACCTCTAATAAATATCTTTTGTTTTTCAAAAAAAACAAACAACAAATCAGCAAAATTAAAATTTACAATAAATCAATTTTTGTTTTTCGATTTATTTTAATTCAACTTTTTATTATCTAAAATGTTTTTTTTGAATATATATATATATATATATATATATAACTATAAATATTCAAAAATAAAAATCATTATCAAATCATAGAATTACCTCAACACAAACAACTATATTTATCAATATATTTAATTTTTAATCAAATAAGAATTATTAAAATTAAATTAACACTTAAACATAGTTACCCAATAATATCAACTATGTTTATATTAATATTTTTTGTTAAAACATATTCTTATTTAATAAATCTAAATCACTTACCTCTCTAACACAACAACATACTCAATTAAATACATATATAAATTCATATATATATATACAAACATGTACACATAAACATTCTACCGCAGACCTAACATTAATGCAAGTCCAAATTGATATGTATTCATGAAGTTTGGGCTTGACATGCTCTGGTCACGGGCGGAATGTGGACTTAAGTGGGCGTAACATTATCTGAGTCCATATCTGCCTCCAGACGCAAACCTCAGGGGCCAGGAGGTGGCTGTCGGCGCCAGTCTCACTTGTTTCTGGTTGCAAGGAAAAATACTGGAACACCAAAAAAGCAAGAAACACTACAGGCACGCCTTCTGGTGAGGTGGATGGCCTCCGTGCATTGGAAGGGCACGGTTTGAGAGTAAAGTCCGAATACCTGCAAGACCTATGCCACCTTACAAATGGAGCATCAATCCTGGAACACCCAAAAAAGATCCCAAACTTTTGCTCGACAAAACCATGCTAAACAGCGACGGCTTCAAGCCTGAAGCGCCAACATTTTCACTTTTCATTGGGACAAAGCCCCCTTTGTCAACTTGAGTGGCGGAGAGGCATGCGTCCACTTGTGGCTATGTTCAAAGGGAAACAAGGAAACTGCGGCCGTACTAAAGGCTTTGATTATTTGAATGGGGTTGCGACGGACTTGAAAACAAAATAGGACTGCTAGCAGAATATATCTGCCTAGTTCTAGATTTGTCCCCGGTGGTATCTTCGCAAACATCGCCCAGAAACCAATCACAAAACGCACTCGAAGAAAGCAAATTGGTGGACCAAACCGCGGGAACAAACCAGAGGAACCCCCATACAGCACCAGCAGCTCAGAAACCCAAAGTACAAGTTCTCCGGAAACATTCCAGGCGGTTTGAGCTCAGAACCTTGGCTGGTTCCGTGGCCATGGAAGAACATGGCACTCTGTATTTGGTAGACCCCCCCTGCAAAATTGGAACAAAGCCCTTACTGAAGGTCTGGGGGTGAGAAGGCTTCCGAGAGTCTTGCTGCGAGCTGGGCATCAAGCTTTGGCAAACTCTGACGCTGGGCAAAAGAACCGAAAGTTGCTTAACCAAGAGAGAGTTTGCAAAGAGCATTTGTGTGTGTGAAGTCGGGACCCTGACAATGATGGTTTCCTTTTGATAAACCAACCCCAAAAAACGGTACCCTCAAAAACACCACACACACACACACCCCTTTGCTCCCAAAAAGGAGGGTGTTTAACGGGGACACCTCTGGGCGGCACCATGTTCTATTTCCGGCCCCCCTTCCCAGTGGCGGGAAAAAAGGCCCCCCCCAAAAAAAAAGGACAAAAGGGGCGCTGGAGGTCTCGGCTTTCACTTGTGTCGTAACTCATAACTCCAGTTGGCCCAAGAAAGGCCTATGGCCGCCCAACTCGGCCCTTTCATTGGCAAAATGTCCCTTCGCAAAGGCTGATTGCATCCACAAATGAACCTCGGCCATGAAGGAAGGTTCATACCAAGTCAGTCTGATTGATTGATTTTTGCCCCACGTGGCTCACCGTCTGTCCCCTGGTGCCTGTAAGGATGTGTCTTGACCCTGCCAAGGCTTGGGTGGCGGTGCGTTTGTGCGCGTGTGTGGGTGTGCGCGCATCTCTGTACGTTTGTGCCTCGAAAGTGTATTTTGTGTGCACGTGTTGTAAACTGCAGGGGCTTCAATCGGCTCACTGTTGGGCACATGCGGTCCTGTTCACCTGTTCACAGCCACATTGTGTTTGCCTCATGTTAGCTCCTGCTGCAACCTCTGGTGGCAGAGGACGTGACTCAAAGTCCAGGAACGCAGGAAGTGAGCCGGGATCGTAGAAATGGATTTTGAATATCCTTGTGGTTTCCTTTTAAACCCCAAACCCTAACCAATAACCCCCGAATTCAAAAACACACTCCCATATTCACCTTTCCCTGATTAGTGGTTTGGGTTGGTTTCCAACTGGTTTCACAAAATCCAATGTCCTCACAAAGTGGCACAGGATCTCGGCCAAGTTGCCAGGGCGGAGCACCCAGTTCAGTGCCACCTGAAAGGTGCCCGGCCGTTGTCTGTTACCGTCCAACCTGTCTTTGGAATAGGGAACAACAGGCATCGAAGGACGGACCTTCACGCATGTGGCATCCCGTGTGGTCATCCAAGCAACAGAGAATTCTAGACGAGGACTAAAGCAATGCGTCTTTCGTTTTCAGCAACACCTGCAAATACAAGATCAGTACATGCTAAAACCAACCAATGCTAGACCTGAGCCTACACAGGCCAAGGGTCAACCAAATCCGAAAGCATAAGACTTGCGGGAGACCGACTCTGACCAGAGAGCGTAAGTTTTGCTCTATTGACCCCGAAAGTTGTTTGCAGGCTACGAATCATCATTGCCGATGGGGCTGAGCTAGATAGCAACTGGCGACTGCAAACGCCCCCCAACAAGCAATGGGTGAACGCAGTGCCTGGAACTTAAATGACACACAAAACAGGCTACACGTGGCACAACGTGAAGCTAGCAACTGATGCGGCGTGCATCAAAGTGCAAACCCACTATGCGCGGATTGCTGCTCATCCCTGAAAGTTCCAAAACACGCTCGATTCAACCACAACATGTCGATGTGAATCGACCAAAAAGCGGGGGATTTTCAAGTGCGCCAACTATAGTTCTTGATGGGCGTCCAAAAAAAAACACAACTGGAACAGGGACCTAGCGAAGGAGCAAAACGCCCCTCAGCTCACCATGGTCGATTTCAGTAAGCCCAGCATTTGCGGCATTGGAAAAGTTGCGCGTTCAACGACAGTGCCCTTTCTTTTGCTTGAAATCTGCAAACTCTACAATAATTTCAAAGCCTGAAATTAGGGATCCCCTAAGCGTGAAGGACTTGTTCATCGAATTCATAGGTGCGCTTGACATCAAATAGAGAAACACATGACCCCTTCAACAAGCCACTGCTTGCGAGGAACTCAGTCGAGCGAAGACACATAAGGTGTGTATCATGTATGTCTGACTATGCACGCGTGTGTAGTATGTCAGCATGTGACTGCATGTATACGCATGCACGTGCTTATCCATGCAAATACGGACACAGGTGCGTCTCGTCTTCGGTGGCGTGCTTTCTTCGGTACTGATCGTGCCCGCCCTCAAGGGACGATGACCCTGAAAACATGTCCCCTGCCGACCCAGTTTGCAAACTGAATTGTGCTCCATAGCCAAAACTGCACCGGAAAACCTAGAAACCAGGGATCATTTCGCTCATGGGGAAGACTGCTAGAGCACGCTCATAAACTCCCATTGCTGTGTGGGGCCCGGACGTACAGAGTGACCTTGCGGGGCACAAGTTACACACAGGCGCCTGGTTTGGACTAGTTTCCTCTAGGGACCTGGTGGCTTCTGTATGGGAAGCCAAAGGGCTTTCAATTTTTTTAGACTTTCCCCGAAACCCGCATATGCATTCGGACGTCAGGGCAACTGGCCAAGTGGACGGATCTGCTCCGTCACCCCGAAACCTGTTAAGTGGACCAACTGAGTGTTGAAGCCGAGAAGAGTCTCTCGAACTCTGCATAGGCTTCGTGGGACTCAAATAGGAAATGTGAACCAATCTGTCCACCCCCATTGCCGCGCCAAGGTGCGGTGTAGGCACTGTTCGAGTCAAAGTACGACGACGAGATGTAAAAGTGCAGGTGCTCCTGTTCAAGGCAAGACTGTCTTGGTTCAAGTTGTGACTCCCCCATATTTCCACAAACAAACTTCTAATCCAACTTGAAGGAAACTCATTTCAATTTGGCTCAAAGCTGATCAATGTTTAAAGCCACCAACAACAAAAAGTTAGGGAGCCCTTCAAGACGTCGCGGACACGGAAATCGAATTCTCCGGCGCAACGCGAGGATGGAGGTTGATGCGGCGGCTTGTCCCCGTTGCTTGGCCCCCCCCGTTCCGGCCGCCTGTGCAACTTGTGGAACCCCCAAGCCGCTAAACGCATCATTCAGCGAACTCTAAGGCGAGGGAGGCTGGGAGACACGGGACCTCCACTAAATTTCCAGCGGAAAAAAGGGGGAACCCTTTTTATGTAGTTGAGTTTAACTGATTCAAAACAGAAACAAAAGCGCACCCCTCAAACTGGTCGTGGGCAACTGTGATGCCAAAGTGAGCACTGTGACTTTGTCAGTTAGGGGATTGACGTGGCATCATTTGCCACAACGATGCAGCCAACACCTGCTGTCACAATCGAATCATAAACATTGATATTTGCTTGGGAATGACCCCAATCTCTCTGAAATCAGGCTGTGATTTTGGATCAAAATGCACACAGACCTCAGCCGGCCAAAAACTCACCTTAAACCAACCCCAGCGCATGGTGGCCTTGTGTTGAAACACGGTAGAGGTGTTGTGTGTTTTCCTAGGGCTGGTTTTGTTAGGGCTGGCAACATCCCCACCATCATCTGGACCAGGGCGTTGGTTGGCCAGTTTTCGCTGGGAGCCGTTTGGCAAAGTGACTGCCCCAGCATCACCCTTCCTCGCAACATAGAGGGATTCTGGACCACGTTTTGGGGTGTGAGAACCCCTCGAAAGCAGGGAATCTGCAACTGGGGACAACCCCACAAAGTGCCACGAATTGTCCGATGGCACGAAATAATTGACAGGTTCAGCTTCGTTGGGCAGAATTACTTTCGGTAGACCCTACGCACTCGCAGAATGTGACCCGACCATCACGAAGTCCAACAAGAATCGCTACCGGTGAGCAACATACGGCAACAGGCCCCCTCCGACTTGTCTCAAGTTCGAGAAGCAGCGACCGACTGCTTCTCCCATTGAGAGATTACCCCGTACAGAGATTATGTGTAAGCTCACACATGCGTATGATTCATTGACTGATTTGTTGTCCAATTATGTAGAGCAAACAAGAACAACCAAGGCCCAGATTCTTTTCGGATAGACTCCTACCGAGGGAGCCACAAGCAAAGTGGTTGGTGGGCATGAATCCCCACCTAAATAGTGTTCATGAAGCGGTTCCCCGTTAAGATTCACACCTTTATGAGGATTATGAGGCCAGGCAGGTTCTCCTACAACCCAACCCTTTGACATATGAGAACGGCTTGAGGGTTCCAGGAGTCTTCTCCGTAGTGTCGATCCAGCATTCTCAGGGCGGCTGTGGGCTTTATGCATTGTTTTCTTTTTCCACGGGGCCAACGCCTGGCAATTGGGAGTTGCTGAGACCTGGTTTAAATTGAAACGGCCTTTTTGTGATTTTGAGGCTTGATATCTTGAGGCTTGTAAACCTTTAGAACTGAGATCGCATTGAGTTTCTCACTCCTTTTAAGGGGCAGGCAAATTAACAGAAACAAGAAGCTTGTCTTTCCATACTGGAACCGATCTGACTTCTATTTCAACTCTAATGCCGAACAGGAATAAAGGAAGGATGCTAAGAGAATTGCAGCTACTCTGGCTTGACTGAGCAGCAGCAACTGGCAGCATGATGCAAAAACTGAAAGTAGAGGACGCCGTTGAATGATTCAAAAATCACAGATTCAGCAAATCAAGCACACAGCAAGCTTAAAGTTTATATCATACTTTAATTAGAACTCAATGTACAATCGTATATTGAATTAGAATTAACATAGGGCTTCCTTTCCAAGTAGGATTTCAATAATGGTTTAATAAGCACTGTTATTCTAATTGAGATGCGAACTCGGCATTTATGTTTGCACGCATGAGTTCAATTAGAGTTTAATCAGAATTCACATCCTGAGTTAGAATGTAAACAGAAAGTCCTTCCAAGTCTAAATAGGAACTCCTTTCCAAAGCTTGATTAGACATCAAAAATGATTTAACTAGAATCTAGTATGGAATTACAAGCTGATTGTTTTTCCTGACTAATTCAACTGCATTTTTTGAATCATATCTTACATAGGAATTCATTTTCAAGTTATCTAGAATGTTGATTAATCTGGTAAGGATAGACAAACTAGTTGTTTGTTCTAGTTAGTTTAAATATACTTCTCACAAGTAATTGGATGCTTACACGGAATTAATTGGAGTCCATATTGTGAGATTGAGTTGAAATAGGAACTCCTTTGCAAGTAGGACTTTAATTAGAATTCAATTGGAAATTAAAAATTTCTTCCCATTTGTCTGGACGACAAAACACACAATCGTAGACCCATCATAGACATAGAAAGCCAGAAACGCCTCGAGAACAGCAATAAAAGACAAACAACCTCGAGAAAACCAAAAGCAACAAAAAACATCGAGAAATTTCAACAAACCAAAAACGCCTCGAGGAACGACAACAAAAAACAAACCACGTTTCCAGAACTCTTTCAACATGAGTTGTGCGCCAAAGAGTTTCTAAATCATGCATTATTTTTGGTTTTCGAGAGTATTTGTTGGCTTCTTTGAGTGTTTTGTTTTGGGTTTCTTTGAGCTTTCATTTGTTTTTGTTTGCTCTTTTCTTAACACACACACACACACATATATATATATATACATATTCCTGAGATGGTTCCTCTGTATTTGCGGGATCAATTGCAACTGGCTGGCTGACCCAAGGGAAGACTGGAAGCCTCAGAAAATGTGCAGAAAGCGCACTGCCTGTTCTGGGTTTTAGGCTGGCTAGATCTTCGTGAAGGGCGGGGTTCTTAGTGTGGTTTGGGGTTGATCTAGCTGAAGCAAAGGGCTGACATCCAGCCTGCTGTTGGGCGAGTTTAGGGCTGACTTGGGTGGGTTTGAAATTAGCTTGGAGCTGATTTTTGGTGGGTGTGCTGCTGGCTTAGCGGTGCTTTGCGGGGTTGCTTTAGGGACGAGAGGTGCTTTTTTGCCTAGGCCTAACTTTTTCTTAGGTCTGGTTCCCTAGTTGGTTGGTTGGTTGGTTGGTGGTTGGTTGGTTGGGAGTTGCTCGGGGCTGGATTACTTACGGGTGGTTTCAGGCTGGCTTGAATCTTACTGGGGTGGTTTTCGGTCAGGTAGGCTCAGCAAAGTACTGACATCCAGGCTGCTGTTGAGTAGTCAAAACTAGGGCTTGTTGAAGCAGTAAGCCCAGGGGTACCATATATGTACCAGTCCCTGGGCCATGTACCCCCCCCCTTAATGGTATGGTCCCCCTCCCCCGCATCATCTGCATCTTGGGGATGACGCTGGCAATGCTGGGGATGCTGTCCAGTACCGTGTGAGCCCTGCACCCCCCCCCCCCCAACACACACGCTACCTATCAACAAGCTGAACTGCAAGAACGACTGCCAGCAAGAATGCGCACTCTCTTTTTGTATGCAAACGAGGGGTAAGTATATGTCGCTTTGCACGAAGCGGTCCAAGCTGATCCACACTGCCAAGGTTGCACACGAATGCTGCACAAGATGGCACACGTTCGGCGTGGCAAGTATTTACATAATGACACTCACACTGCAATCCCCTTCTTATCCGAATTGTTGAATGATTTTGTCAAACACGCTTTTACAGCACGCCTCCCTTATCCCAAGCGATTTCAATGGTAACATGACCGGCCAGGTCAAGCGCCTCACAAACTGGATTGTAACTCACTGCAAGGTCGACCAACATAGTCCGAGCGTACTGAACCATGAAGACAGAATCATTCCTTAATTCCATCAAAGAGTAGTTGTCTGGGAACATAGAGCGAAACGCGACACCCACCAAGACCCCAGCACCTCTCGCAACATCCTACCCTAAACCAAACCACCCTGCAACCCCTCCTTAACCCCAACCAACCCAAACCCCAAACGCACCCGAAACCCACCGCAAACCAACCCTGAACCAACCCTAAACCAACCCACCAAGCCTAAGCCAACTCCGAACCACACCCCAACCACCCAACCACCCAACCACCCCACCACCCCACCCCACCCTCACGGCCTGGAACATATATATATATATACAAATATATACAAAAATTGTATGTGTAAATATAAATATATATATATATATGTACCAGTCCCTGGGCCACGTACCCCTCCCCACTCCCCCGCATCATCTGCATCAATGGGGATGATGCTGGTATTGCTGGGGATGCTGTCCAGCACCGTGTGCTCTGCAGCTTCGCTCCCCAGACCCTGCGCGTTTAACCCGCTCGCCCACGAAGCCAACCTAAACCAACATCTTACCCTAAACAACCATAAGCCAACCCTAAACCAACCCTAAACCAACCCTAAACCAACTCCAAGCCACGCCCCAACCACCCAACCACCCCACCCCACCCACACAGGGGGCCCTAAACCAACCAACCAAACCACGCCCCAACCACCCAACCACCCCACCCCGGGGTTGGGGGGGAGGGGGGGGGGTCCACAGTCTGGAACACAAATACACACCCTTCAAACATCGAAGGCACCAGCACCAGTTGCCTCCATCCCTTTCCGGGCCTCTGCGGAGGCGTCAAAACTGACCTCCATCAGGGGCTCCGCACTCTGCTCCAGCCTCAGGCGATTGACCGACGCAAAAAAACCTCCAACATCTTCCAATACAGGCATCTGGCTGAGGGCAGCTGAGCGCCAGAAACCCGAAGTTTTTTTTTTGGGGGGTCCCCTATTTTCACACATACCCATTTGAACGTCATTCACTCAAACGAGTGGATTGTCTTGCTTTCCCAGCAGCTTACCATGGGCAGCAAATCTAAACCAAGCCAAGTTGGTTCATAGTCACAGCTATCCACCATGTAGCTGTCTTTTATTGCGGGTGCCCTTTGGGGATGGTTGCAAAGGAAAACCTTGCTCCCCCAGGGCCCAGAATCCGTTCCTTCATGCCAAAAGCTGTTGGGCCTTGATTCAAACTTGGCCTGGGGTTCTCCAACAAATCATATCTTCTGATTCTCTTTCACGCGTCTACCCTAAATCTTAACATCTCTTTGGAGACCTGTTTCATGTAAAGCCCTTGGGAATATGGCAAGTTTCCCACCCCCAAAACACCTGCAAACACGCTTGCTCTGTGGGCTCGTCTTTTTGGATCAGCGCATGTCTCCTGTTTTTTGGCCTGAAGGTCTTCCAGAACCCTGAAGCAAAGGATTTTGGTGTGTCAAAATGGGGATTGCACCCCCCCCAGAATGGTGCTTGTCACTTTCTTTTTGGATTCCGTTTGAATGAGCCTCAACAAAACACACATTCCCAGAAGACTTTGGGAGGAATGAACAATGCATCCAAAACATCGGGGGCCCCAATTCGATCCCCAGCACTGAACATACTGTGGATGGTTGTGACATCCCGCACCACCCAAGAAACCCTGGACGGATTGATTACCTGCAAATACCAACCAAGAATGTTTTTTCATGGTTTCAAAGTCCATCCACAGTGACCCCAATGTTTTTTTCCTGCTGAGTCCCTCCAATCCAAAGCTTGGGTCCTAGTCTCACCCGCAAAAAGGGCCTGGACATGCCATTGTCGGACCTTGACGAAAAATGGCTAGCAAAAAAAGAGCAAAAAGACGGTTTGCTTTGCGTTGGACTGAGCAGTTTTGCAGACACCCTGTTTGTTTTTGTCGTCTTTTCAGGGAAACGAAAGGAACCCTCCGCCTAGGCAAATTCAAGTAAAAGGGTGTTTTGACCATGGCTCGGAGATTCCACAGCTCACAGCTGGAAAATTCCCCCCCCCCCAACTGAGTCAAACCAAAACACGGGGGCTGTAGCAGGGCGAGGCTGCAGCGGCAAATGCCACAGGGGCCTGATGCGTGGTGCGTGGCACCGTGTGCATGGCAAATGTCCCAACTCCCTTTATGTGGCTTGGTGGTCCTCTGATCCCTTGCAAGTGCCAAACAACTTTTCTGGGACGTGTCTCACAAACTGTATGGCTGAGAATCGTCGAGGTGCGTTTCCCTCACCTCCATGGAAACAAGGGCACCCCTTGTTGGCTGATTCTACGAATGGTGTAAGAGGATAGCCCAAAAAGCTTGCGAGCACCAAACACCCCCCCGGTTTTCACTCCTCGAATCCTCAAGAGGTAAGGGACCTGAGCAGAGGTGTTTTAGCTTGACACGCTCAGACCTTTTGCAGCTGGTAAAAGGGAACCCAAGGCATGTGCCAGGAAACTGTTCACCAATTGTTTATCCTTGCGTTTCTGCTTTCATTTGCTGAAGCCCGGCAAAATTTCAAACCAACAGGGGGGAAACACAAACAATTCATTTCAGCCAATGATTTGTGTGGCTTTCGATTTCTTCAGATTCTGTTTGAAAGGATTCCTTACCTCGTGCCTGACTCATCAGGAACGGCCCGGAGCAAGTCCCAAGGTTGGGCAAAGTGGGTTGAGGCGTCCGAAAATGCAAAGCTCCGCAATCAAGTCACCTGCAAATCGCACATTGTTTTCAATAAGGGATACCCAAAAGGACCTAGGTCAACGCTAATCGCTCTTTTCACAAGGAATCCCAAGTCGGAAACCTCGAAACTAGCAATTATGCAGAATGATTGGCTTCCTGGCTTCCCAAGTTGGCTCCCATTCCGTTTTTCCAATGTGAGTTGACCCCCATCTGAATGCATTGCTTTTGCAACAAGGAACACGTTGCAATCCTTTCTTCTCTGTGCGTTAAATTTCGGAGCTGGTGACAAGTATCTTTAAACTTGACATTTACTAGCTTACCCATGGATATGGTGTCAAAGAGAAACCACATGGGTGTGGGTCAAAAATCAGGTAACCCCAACATGGGTGCCCTGGTAAATGGAACCAAGGACTAAAACCTTTGACCCATACATGGAATTACGTGTCCCAAACATGAGATCTCGGCCATCCCAACAACCTCCATGGGCGAACTGAGTTTACACCCGCGGCGACTTTTTTTTCGGGCAACCACGCTTGGAGCTTGGACTTTCAGCTGCAGTTCAAACTCCACCTCCGTGGGCGAGCCTGGGCTTCGCGAGGCTTCTTTTTTGTTTAACAAATTTAAGTTTTTGCTATATGACTGGAACATAATGCACTAAAACCATGAGTTATGATCAGATGATAATCATATGTAATTGTGAAGCCCAGAACTGCCAAGTAGGAATTGGTTTGGACAAATCGCCGAGAGCCTTTGTTCAGGGTACATTTCTAGTACATTGCCCTTATCAACAACACTAGCCGATGGCTTTCCCAATTTTTACCAGCTCAACCAGTCTTCCGTACATCCAATTGCTTGAAGCTTTGAACGGCCCCTTTTTCGGCTCAAAAGAAAACTCAGCGGCACCTTGAGCTCTTGGGAGTCTCCTCCCGTGCCTCTGAGGTGCTCCAACGATCCGAATCTAGGGGAAGACACAAATCATCGCGTTTGGAAAGAACCACCCCCCCCGCCCTCTGGGGTTCTTAGAAGGGGCTGTTGGCAGGGTTCTAAGAGCACATTTCTGGTGGGTCAGTGGGCAATGACGATGTCCTTCAGAATTATTGACAAGGGATCTGGAAAGAACTCCCTTCCCGCTCCTCCAATGCACACCTCCTCGTTCTGTCCATAGAGCTCCTCGATGTCGTAGATGGAACTCCGCCTCGGAGCAAGCTTCACTTTCAGCGGGCTGTAGAAGGATGGGAATGTGCTAAAATCAGGGTCCCCTTTGAGGGACACGCTCGGGCTGGAGGAAACATCACGTGGTTTTTTTCCTGCTGTGGAGGATTCCCTTACAAAGCAGGTGGCTTTTGCATACTGGCACGTGTGCTTTTTTAGTTCACTCCTTTTGATGGCTGGTCTGCAGGGAAGTGAAAGGACAACCACCAATTTCGAGGTACCCAGCAACACCAGGGTTTAGTAAGCCTTGGAGCTGAACAAGACCAAACACGGGGGAGCGGCTTCCGGTCCTTCAACATTGACACCCACTTGCGTCTCCCTACGACTCCATAACCGGGTGGGGAGTTTCAACGGAGCGCCCAAAACCTGTTGGGAAAAGAGGCCTTGCCATACCCTCCAGTGGGCAAAGCTGGTCATCCCCAATTCCTTCTCGCTCCCAACATCTTCCATTCCGCATCTCTCGGGCAAACTAGTAACTGCCCCGAGCCGGGGAAACAAGGAAGGAGCGATCCTTTGGAGAAGATCCCAGTTTCGCATTTTGAGAGGTTGAACAGCACGTCTTGCTGCACACATGCGCAGCATCGAAATCGGTCCGTCAGAGAACCTACATCCTGACAAGCTATGGTGGATGCCTTGAAAATTGCCATAAACCTAACCATACTCAAATTAAAGGGCTTCCTTAATGCACCACTCATAGCATCCGCCGTACCAACGGACCCTTCCAAGTCTTCGCTTCTTGCAGCTCCCAAAAGCTTACATCACTCCAACCCGCCTTGCTTTTGCTTCAACAACCTCCTTTGGCTCCCTGTTCAAGTCGACCAGGGCATGGTTGTTTCAACAACAGTGAATGTTGCTGGTTCTCAGGAGGGAACTAAGAGGGGTTTCGGAAAGTAAGCCACCGCCTTTAGTTGTTTTTCGTCCCCTGGAACAACATAAGCATTTTTCCAGTAGTCAGAGATTCCCTTTCAAACCTACAGAGGAGAATCACACATATTCTCAAACTCACGGAAGACTAGTTGGTTCAGTGCGGGCATTCCAGCTCCTCTGACCAATTGCCCGTGGCAGTGGTCTCCTATCAAACTGGCTGCGTCCAAGCCGTGTGGCATTTTGCTGCATGGGCTCATCTTGCAGCCCATACCGCCCGTGAGGGGCCTCTCTTTTGCCTCAGGCTAGGACGAGGCCCAGTGTGGGGTTGCGGCTTAGCGCCATTGTGAGTGATCACAGTGAGAAGCGCCTGCGGGAATCGCTGCCGTGCAAGGATGTTACGCTGTCTTGCCCTTATGCCGGCCAGTCGCGGTTCGCGATTGGTGCGGGTGGCGGGCCTGACTAGGCAGCAGCGCTTCCCCTGGCCACACTTATTTGGGTCTCTGAGCCTGACACGCTTAGCCAGCTTGAACTCCAAGTGGAGGAGGCAATGACGTTTACGGAGCCTCTTGCGAAGCGAGGAGGGATGGCGCCTTAGGCAGTGGCTCTGCGCTTCCCACCTAGCGCAGCAGCTTTCGCTCACTCACTCACTCACTCACTCACTCGGTCTCCTATCAAAGGGCCGTGCTTTTTTCTTCTGGGACCTGCTTGTTGGTTTTCAGGGGAAGCCAAAAGGACATCGGCGGTGTTGGGGGTACCATTTAGAGACAAACTCTACAGGGAAACCCAAAGGAGGCTGTTTACACCATTGTGGTCTTTAAAGGCGTGGCCCATACCCAGCTGCGCTAGGTCTCCGGACTCTCTCTGTCCGATGCGGATGCCGTGACGCATGTGCCCGCTGATCACTGCACAAACGACCTCGCGAAACGCAGGTTAAGAGAGACCCAGGTGGCCTTTTGGATCGATTCCCGGTGACAAGAAAACATCTGGTTCCAAGTTGAAGCAAGGATTCCAGGGTGACTGATCAACGCCTGTTCTGGAAGAAACCGCCGGGTTTCTCTAAGTCCAACTTGATTATCAAAAAGGCCTTAGGGCTACCCCCGCCCGCATCCCCAAACTTCCATGCGTGTCACTGGCAAAAACCGCCGGGCTTCTCCAAGTCCAACTTGATTTTCAAGAAGGCCTTAGGGCTACCCTCGCAGCCCGCATCCCCAAGCGTTAATGCGTGGGCTTCTCCAAGTCCAACTTGATTGTCAAAAAGGCCTTAGGGCTACCCCTGCAGCCCGCATCCCCAAACGTTCATGCGTGTCACTGGAAAAAAAAACAACTTCGCCGGATTTCTCTAAGTCCAGCTTGATTTTCAAAAAGGCCTTTGGGGTATCGCAGCCCGCATCCCCAAACTTTCATGCATGTCTCAACCTCTGGTTAAACGGCTGTTTCACTTGTGGGTTCCTCAAAGGAAACTCCCCAGGCATGGAACCCAAAAAGCTGGCGATGAGAGGCTCCATGTCAATGTGATAGGGAAGTACATCCTCCAAGGACCTGCGAATATGCGATCCTCTGTACTTTGGGTGGCCTTTTCAGGCCCAAATGTGTGTCCTAGGGACGTTGTTTGAGCCTCTTTCATCAATCTTCTATAACGGCATCGATCTGCACCATGAAAACGGCAGCCTCAAAGGTCCTTAGTTGCCTGAGCTTTCCTAGGAGCCACAAGGGCTTTGCAACGGTCGCGGCCGAAGGGTACAAGGGAACCTTCTGGGTCCCTTGCTGCCTCGCTTCGCTTGAGAAGCTAACTATGTAAGCAACGGAATTCAAATCCATGAAAGAAAGGTATCTATTCAAACCCGGCTAAGCGCGGCACTTTGTGCTCGATCTTCTCGGTGTTGATGAGATCTGCCATGCTGTTGGGCGGCCGCAAGGTCTTTGTGCGGCCAATGTCCCAGTCGTCCTCACGGTTTCGAAGCATGTCTCATGGAAAATATCCACTGGACCAACTGAAACCATCGTTTTGCTAAGCGACCATTTTTGGTTGCATTTTTAGGTTGCCATTTGACAGAAATCCATTAGAAAGCAGGCGTTGCATGTTCAATTTTCTCTCAACCACTCACAGAGTCCATGAGTGCGAGCGCACCAACCTGTCACAAGTCCATCTGTTCCAACAGCTGTTTCCTTTGGCCACTCCACGACAAGCTTTTCCCATGTCCGAAGCTCCAAGTCCAAAAAGCAGTTGGGGTGCTGGGGATTTGAATTGCCTGGAAAAAAGGGAAGGAACTTCTCGAAGCCTCGAAATGAGTGGTTTTTCCCTTCAATTCAAAAAAAAAACAAAAACAACACGGGCAAAACAAACAGGCGGAACGATTCTTGTTTCCAACGTCCCCGCAACGGATTTCTGAGGGTTGATAGTCAGCCCACAGAACCAAGGGTTGTTTGAAAGGGAAACCAGCAGGAAAATCACATAGTTTGCACAAGCCTTCCATTCACATGCCCTGAATTTCAATCAGACTTTCACATACCTTGGGAATCCATGGTGTTGGTTAGCCAATGACGCAGGGTCGATCCGTTCTTCAAGCATGATCCAAACACCACGGGTAGAGAAACCGGCTGGGTTTCTTTCCTTTCTCCAAGGGTCCAAGTACGTTGTGCCCCTTCTCCGGAAGGTGGGACAGCCAAGCACAAAACCCTCGATATTTGACCAGCTAGCAACCACATCAAGGCAACCATGCCTCCAGTGGAATTTCATTGCAAACAAAAACACGCGCCTGTTTTTGGATGGTCGACTTTTAAAGGTCACCCATGGACTGCGGCACCACTTTTGGGTCCAGGCAAGTGCCCGCATGTTGGCCCGAAATTCGGCCCTGACTATTGGTCGATGTCCCCCTGAAAACATGAAACCTGAGTCATTGGACACTGGTCCAACCCCCCGGTTCCAGGTGAGGTCAAGCCACCTTCAGGGTGACAGGGGTGTTAACTTTAGCGGAGGATCCTGTGGTGGACATCAGATTTTTGGGGGTAGTGATGTTCAATAACTACTTCTGAGGTGGTTTCTTATTAATTAATACCATTTAACTATTGCCGTATCATTTCCACTGGGCTAGGAGCAGGGGGCTATCCCCTATTTAAACCTCAACCTGGAATACAGCCTCAAAGGGCTTCTCGAGGGATATTCTCCCCGAAAACTAGGCCATGGGCCTTTTCTGCGTTTATCCCAACAAAGAGGTTGCTTCAAAGACGCACAACCATGAAGCTATCCATGTTTTGCCGCTCGCAATGGATGAGATATCATCCAACCTGCCGTGTCTTTTGCAAGCAACAACTTGAGGGGGTGTTCTAGCCATCAAGACATCATAGCCAAAGGGGTTTGTCTGATAACTTTGCGGATCCTCTCAATCAGTTGCTTACTTCTTAACCAGCAACTGTCTCAAGCTGAAGATACCTATTAAATCAGCAAGGCCTCTCCGCCGGGAACCCTCATTCGGGTGAGGGTCCCAAATCTACAACAACCCTGTACTAGGGAGGAGACTTCAGTTGGGCTCAGTTCAACCCATTTCGGCGTACACCAAAAATAATATCTTCAGATTCTGCTCAGTCTGCCCGAAAACCGAAACCATAGAATAAGTCTGGAGACCCAGCCACGCCAAAGAAATCAAACCCAATCTCATGGACCTGGAGGTGATCCCTCTGTCCTGGGACTGCATGGTCTTCAAAGTCGGCAGGAACTTGCAAGACTCCTGGGGCAGGACAGCCATCACGGGCTACGCTCATTCCGACTCATTCCATTAAGAACCCATTTGTTCGAACTCATTTTTTGGGGTACCCTCAGCGAAGGTCCCAGTCAAATGTTCGAGTCCAAACACAAAAGTGAGATTCGATTCCCAGAATCCCGCCCAAGTGAAACAGTACTTGGACAACAAGAACGACAACGTGTCTAAGGTTCATTGTAACAAATAGCAGGGTTGTCTGTTCACAACATGTCACAATTGTCTTGAATATGTTGGCTTTCCCCACATGCAGTGGCTTAGGGGGCAAAGATTGGGCAAAAGGGGAGAGCGTCTTCGGTGTTGGCTTCTTTTGGTCTTCCTTTTTTTGGGTAGAGGGCCTTTCACCAAAAGAGAAAAACACATGTTCACTGGGCAACTCCCCCCCAGGTGGTTGTTGATGCGGGGTTACTCAACATGGGGTTTCCTTTTGCTTTCCCATCCCAAAGGTGAGTCAATTTGTGGGATGTGGGGGCTCGTCAAAAATGGCCAAAATTGTTTGGATTTGCAGGGGCATTTCCGGCGAGTTGTTTGGAGGCGCGGAGGTTGTTCACTGCTTTAGGGATATGTACCGCCCAAATCCCAAAATTCATGAAACCATACAGGGCGTCCCCTAGGGGTCCTGAAGTACGACCCAAATATGGTTTTTTGCTATTAGTTGGAGCCTCAAGGCCTTGCCAGGCGGGCCCTCTTAGGGTGGACCGAAGAAAACAACCTCCTACAGGAACAGCAAGTGGCCCTTACCCTCATCCCCAACTTCCAGCCGTGGAGAAAGGACCATCTGTTTGTGGCTGGGGGAAGGCCACTATAACCTAGAAGTACACATTCCGAAGCTTACCTACTACAATCGTAACTGGAAGCACTGGGTAAAACATGAACTTCTTCGCATTTTTTTTTAACACCACCCTCAAAAGGGTACACAAAACCACTGCCATATCCTGGGCACCTTGGTCGGTCTGGCCGTTTTGTCTGCCATGGGTCACTCGGGCTTGGCATCACGCCTCATTCACCGGCAGCATGCCCATGAGATGCGTGGGCACCTGAGCGAGTGGCTCGTCGACGTTTCTTGTTGAGTGGTTTCTCTGGTGATGAATGACGCCTAATTGATAAACCCCCAGGTATTGGTAAGGGGAGCCCCGTTTTTGTGGGGAATCCTTTCTTCTGGTTAAGGATTTTTCGGAGACACAGCCCCTCCCACCTTTGGAAGGAAAAGGCGAACCCAACGGCCTTTGAACCCAACCCTAACAAGGGGCATTGCAGGTGTGGCCACCGAGTTTATGAGAACCTCTGCTAATGGCCTTAGCTGGCCAGCTGATAGAAGCGATGGTATCGTCATGTGAGCCATGGCGGAACCCGAACGGTCAAGCTCTTTGCGTGCTCCGTGAGTGACAATCAGTCAGCATAGCCAACCATCAGGTACAGTAAGATTTCAACCAGGACATGGGTGGGCCACAACTGTTCCTCGCTGTTGTCGAACACCCAATTCTAAGCATGCAATTGACCATCCCTTGGAAGTGACCAGGTCTTTCAGACTTGGCAAAACAATCAACACGCCTCCAAACATCTGCACGAAGAATGGTAAAAATTAAGAATACGTCCCAAAACCCAATGAAACCCTCCAAATCGGCTGGTTCAAGCTGGCAAAAATACATCCTTTCAAGGAACCGGTAAAATCATCATAAAAAACACCGCCATTTGCGGCCGTTTTCGAGAGTGCATGCGTTGACATATATATATATATATATCTCACAAACCTAAAATGAGAAGCAAACCAAGAAAAGAACCTTCATGGTGTGTCTCTTTTCTTTGGACCCCCCCCTCCAAACAAACAGAAGTAGCTTTCCTTTTGGACGCCTAAAACCGCTAACAAAACATGTGTGTGAAATTAGGCCATACTGCTCAACGGGCTCCCGAGCAGATTCCCAGGAGGTGTCTGGCATCTGCGAGCCTTGCCACGTTTTCTCCTCTTTTTCTTTGGTCGAAACCTTCCGATCCAATGCATTGGCCAAGAGTCTGATTTTTTGCAGTTTGCCAGACAGATCTTCAAAAGTTCAAAGCTCGTGGGAAGCGACTTTTCGACCATCCAACCAAACAGAGATGGACCCCATCTCCCCATCTCCCTCACCGGCCTTACTTCACGTTGGAGAAACTCGCTTGAAGGACTGGGGCTGGGTTTCATTTTGGGCCCGAACCCGGAAGGGAGTCTCACCTAAAGGCACCCGAAGCACGGGACAAGTAAAAAATAAGTGGAACACCACAAGGCGAAAAGGTCGGTTTGACATTTACATCTTAAGGACCCTCAAAATGCAACCACTTCAACGGACCTAGAAAAAATACTCTCCCCTCGATGGGGCCATTGAACTACTGGGAAGCATTTAGGACTCACCCTTAGACCACACAAACAAACCAAACAAACCAAACAAACCAAACAAACCAAACAAACCAAACAAACCAAACAAGACCAAACAAGACCAAACAAGAAGGTTAACTTCCATTTGCTTAAGCCCCATGAATACAGCGGTACGCATTAAGTAGTCATAGCTTCCCTTTCAAACCAGCAGGGGGAAATTATAAGACGTATTCTGAAGCAAGTCAGAAGGTATACAAGGAACCAAGGGGGAACATGTGGAAACACGTGGCGCTGAAACACAAACGGGTAGCGTGCAACTGCCATACTGCAACTAAGGAAACAAGAAACCCGATTGTCTAACTTACTGTAATCTACCATGGTTTCGGATTTTTTTTTTTTTTTTGGCTGGTTCACTCGCAGTATTGAGTTGTGGTTCTCGGAACCCTTCTGAGAAGCCCTTCTAAGAACCCTTCTGACCTTCCGAGAAGGGGGGGGTTATCCCCTAAATACCCAGACTCCCAGTGATTGGGGAAAACACTCTCTTTTTTCCGGGGGGGGGGGGGGTCCCCCATTCCGAAAAAAAGGGGGCGAAAAAAGCAAGCCACTGGAGGTCTCGGTCGACCACTCTCTAATGGGACGCCCGGATCACAGTGTTAAATCCGAAAACCAATTGTTTTCTACCAAATCAAGCAGAACCAACATGGCTCTCTCCCTCTCTCTCTTTCTTTTGGTGCTACCCCTCCCATTCTTTGGGGACCCCCAAAAATTCAAAACGTGAAGACACGCGCCGAGTCCCCGGGCCAAGGGGGCCGGAGACTTGGTGCCGGCTGCCGCTGGTGCTCTTCGAGGGACGCTTCTCCCGGTGTGACCTCGAAACCGGAGAAATTGGCGCGAACACCGAGGGGGGAGGTAGGGTGTGAAATAAAGGGAGGATGCAACTGAATCCGATTTTCTCACCTTTAGGATTCCTGGGAGTCACAATTTATGGGCTATGAGGGTCGGTACCCTGCTTAGCATTTTGGTTTGACAAGGGAAACCAAAAGGACGACCTCCATGAAGCCCATTTTGGGGCTTGCTGATTTGGGACATCCTGGCCCAACAGGGTTCCCGTTTCCCTTTGAACGCCTCCCTGCAAGGGCACTCCAAAAAAGGAGACTGGCCCATGGCCCGCATGCAACTGCCTGCCCCATGCCCCTGAGGCATCGGGCCACGAGGAACAGGTGATTCGAACCCAAAGCCGTGGGAAGACGCTGGTGCCGCCCTCAGGCCTCGAGTCTCCGAAGGAACTGGAGCAGATTTGCGAAGCCCTCCGGGTGCTAAGCCGGCAGGGGGTAAACACCAAGGGTTCGTAGACGAAAAAAACTGAGCCTGTGCAACTGAACTGTTGTAGATGATGAAAGGGCCCAGAAAAATCCCACCACTTTTTGCTGCTTGAGGGGTGCGTGTCCAACGGGCGCTCAAATGACAGGCTTTTCTGTCAACTGGGTTTTTGGAGCGACACCCCCTCACCAGCAAAGGTTCTGTGAGAACCTTCTTGGCGCTAAGCTCTTTCTGGGGGTCGTGTGTGCCCACTTTGTCTCCCAAAAACATACGCTGAGAGAGAGAGGATGCACTGGGCCCTCAGAACATGGGGCGCTTCTCTTTCCACATTCCTCCCCCCCTTTCATGGGGCCTATTGACAAGTGGACACGAGGTGTTCCTGAAACCATCTCCTTTAGGTACTTCTCTTCTAGCCTTTGGCCTAGTGAAAACAAGCTTGTCTCGACAAGAACTTTTCAAGGATATCCTTTCTTGGGCACCGCCCATTCCCAACTCTGCGTTCGGCGTGTGACACCGAATCGGGGAACCGATGGGACACGCTTCTTACAACCCATGGGAAGAATGAGCATAAATTTGTTCTGGATGAGCCTGAAGAGACACCAGGAGTCTGGCAGAGGGAAACCAACAAAACAATTCCTGATGCGTAGCAGAGTGTTCACAACCATCGAACAGGGATGTGAAGAAACAGGCACAAGCTCCTGGAGTGAAGGGGATGACTCAACATGCGGTGTGTCTTTTTAGGGCCCCCCCAAATATGTATGTACATATGTGGTGGTTTCCTTTTGGTTTCCCCTTAAAACCATCAAGCAAGGGCAAAAACAGGCACACCCAAATGGGGGAGTTGTGCCATCTACTTCCACGCTGTAGAAACCTGGGTTCCAACTCAAAGATCGCTCTGGGCGACCCTGGCACTTGGTTGGGCTTAAATCCTTCCTGCGGCGAGACGCGCACTTCCGTGAAAGGATCCTCAGGACCTGCAAATTCTATATTAAGCCTATTCCCTTTCCCAGAGACGATGAGCAACCTGTCTGTTTGTGGGGGAGCCCTCCAAAACTGTGGTTCGCCTTTGGTTCTCCAAAACAACAGCACAAACATATTATATGGAACCCGCAACAAAAACAACCACAACCCCACATGTAGTCTGCCCCAAACCAGGTTTGGAACTTCGGGAGGCGTGCCAATTGCCACATGGGAAACCACCTGGGCATATCTTTCTTTTAGGTAGGGGCCATTTTTTTCGGGGGGCGTCCGATTCCCATTTGAGACACACCCACAAAACATCCAAGCATGTCTTGAACGGACAAGCCAAGGTATTCCTGGCAGGAACTCCGATGACCACTTTGTCTGTTGTTCTGGGTACCTTGTGGAGTGGTTCTCAAGGAACACCAAAAGGAGGCTCACTCTTTGTTTGGGTCCCCTATCGGACATACCCATGTAAAGCTTTTCCGGCTGTGGACATGTCCTTGGGCTGTATGGCCATCGCTCATCCGCCAGCCAGCCCAGCGATTAGAGGGTTGAGATGAACTGATCGGCGAAGGGGCCCTGGGAACCTGAAGGTTCGGATCGACCCGCGGCCGTTTTTTTTGTTTTTGGGGGGGGCGGCGAATCAAAAAAACAACTCGGAGTTGACCAACCCCAGGGCGGGAAAAATCAGCCCTTTCTGCCGAAGCGCAATGACACTAGAAGTTCTAAGGGGCCCTAGCGCAGAAATTGGGCCCAAAGCCCATCCCACAACCAGGGCCAAACCACCATGGACCACCTAGGTTTCCACCAGGAGCACCATGACTTGCTGGTGCTCAGCAGGGAAGGGGGGGAAATGACCCCAAGAAAACCCGTCCCCGAGTTGGTTTTTGTTTAAGCAGGTCCATTCCATTTCTCATTCCCTGCCTATCGCACCAGCAAGATGCCAGCACCAGGCAACACCCTGAGCCCCACCTGCTGTTGCAGGATTTCGTGGCTGCCCAGGGACACGCTCGCGCCCTTCCACGCCTAAACATTCGCGAAGGGCGAGCTCAACGTGAACGCAATGCAGCTGCAATATGCATGAATCAATATTATATGATGAAGACTAAACTCATGAATACACAAATACATTAAACAACAAGTGCATTAACTGCTGCATGCACAAATGAACAAATATAAACACAACAACACGCGCACACACACACATATGTCAACACAAATTAGTGTGTATATGTAAGAGTACTGCACGTGTATATTTTTCCTATTGCAAATACATGTTGACGCCCACCAATGCCCATGTTCCGCGGAGCATAGCCAGGTCTGCTTACTTGACAAGGCCACGCCTCTTCGAGGTAGAATCAGAACTCCGCGTGCCGGGCAGAAACAAACTGCTCACTCGCGTGGATGGTTGCCATTGGGCCAATCTAAGCCCTTGTGTATGGCCTCACTTGTTGCTAGTGCGCAGTGGAAACTGAAACAACTTCCAAAAACATTTGCAAGTTCTTTTGAGCAGCTTTGAACACAACTCGTAAAATTGCTACAATGGACTCCGCGAGTACGGCAGTAAGGGACTTTCATTATGAACGCGCTCGGCTTCCCCCCAGGTTCAGTCCGTTATAGTTTGCCGAGAAATCTCAATGATCGCATTTAACTACCGCAACGCAAAGCTTGAGGGCAGCGTGAAGCATCAATCATGATTGCGCAGCTTGCGCCCCTTTTTGTGAGTACGTGTCAACCATCTAACCACGATGATTTCGTTGCTTTCCAGGGTGCCACCTTTTAGGATACTTCGTGCATGTTTCTGTTTCCCCGCTTTTCATTCGCCCTTTACCGAGTTCATGAGTGCGAATCACCGATCAGACGAAAGGCTGAACCCTGGAAAAAGGCGCGCCATGAAAGTGGCTTGGGCTGCAAAATGGGGCTGACCTTTTGGTCAGCTTGTCATCTTAGTCGAGATACTTCTCTTCTGATTTCGAATCAAAGCAACAGGTTAGCCATTGCACTATGCCAAACTTTGGCTAAGAAAATATGAGAAGGAAAACCCATTTGAGACCTCCAAAAGGGCCAACCACGGCAGGGCGAACATATGAAAGTTCAGTCTGGCATGTGTCAGGAGCCAGGAATTTATCGAGTCTTGGCAGTGTTGCACCCGTCCTTCTGCAACCAGCTGCCAGCCATTCCGCTCAAGAGCTAATCCATTTGGGTTGGATGGTGTCTCGAGTAAATGGGTCACCCTACATTCAGGGTGGTAGGCGAACCCGGAAGCCCGGGGTCCCTTGAAAAAAAATCCTCCAGGGGGCCGGGCGCCTTTTTCCGAGGGTCCCCCTTTGCTTTTTGATCCTGGGGGTCTGACAAAGGGAACCACCCAATTTCGGGAAGGCCATTTTGGAAGGCGCCTTTTGTTTGGTGATCTTAAAGGGAAACCGGCAGGACACCAACTTTTGGCGGGTCCCCTAAAAAATACCCCACATCGGTGGGACCTCGACTCGGGGCCCGGCGTGAGGGACCATGTTGGAATGGTCGCCAAAGACCCCGCTGGGCGTGTTGACCCCTGCCACCTCGGCTGGGTGCCCCTAGCCCCTTGTGAAGCCCAACTAACTTGCCGTTGCTCAGTAGGGAACAACCCGGGTTTATGGGAATGAACGGGATGGGGATGCCGACAAAGAAAACCATAGGGGATGGTTTTCCTTGGGTCAGCCCAAAACTGATCATATCTATCGTATCGCGAAATCGTCATGTCCAGGTTGTCCATTTTCATTTTGTAGCTTTCAGCAACGAGTTTTTGCTTTTGTCAACCCTCATTTCCTGCTGATAATCAACAAGCTAAGCAATAGGCACCAGACTTCTTTTCAGGTCCCTTAGTAACATGCCAGAGAGGCCCAAAGAATGACACAATGGGCACAACAAAGGGGCACGTAAGCATACTTGAGAGAACAAAAAACATATAAGGATACCCTTTTTAAGAAAGGATTTTTCGGGGTTGAGACAAACCATACCAGGAGGTACCAGGGGGAGCCCATGTTTGTTTCTCTCTGGCAGATGCAAGAAGCCATCATTTTCATAGGTTGCTTGAAGAACTTCAAGAGAGTATTGCTCAACATAGCTTCGTTTCCGGGTGCAGGCACAAGGTCTAACATGCTCACTTCTGGTTGCTCGCACTCCACCAAGGGATCAAATGGCCCAGGCCAACGGACACCACACGACTTTGGAAATCAAAGGAAATTGCTTTTTAATCTTGTGCTCAAATTTGCTAAACACCCCAAATCGATTCTCTGCCCAAACGGTTTCGATCATCTTTTACTAGTCAAAGGGGCAGGAAAGGAAACCGTTTCTCAACTTTCTACTTTGGGGTTTTGATCCCTTTGCACATTCTTAAAAGGTACCACCCTCTGGGAACTGGCCCCAACACAAAAAGGAAGACCCCTCCTTCCCACGACTATGTGATGATTTTCAAGGCGATCCCATTGACCTCACAGAAAACGATTGGCGATCAACACAAAACGGGGTTTCTACCACCAATACGCCATCAAAAACTGGGGGTCACCAGATTCCTCCTCTGAAAGTTGCACTTTCACCGGGCGGTTCCAATTGAAACTGCCACTTGAAGCTCCAAAAAGGGAAATGCAGGGACCCCTGCACCACCGAACTCCTTACGGACAACAAAACCCCCCTGCCAGAAACCCCCGCGATATCCACGGTCCTGGCGCCACGGTAGATGACGAAACCGGGGTCCAAGGCGGAGGTTTCCCTTGGCCTGTGTGGCTGGGCAAAAAAAATCGGCGGGAAAGTGCGGGGGCTTGAGGTACTGTGGATGGTTGCGAGATTCGTTCGCACCGCGAAATGAAACCATGGTTGACACCATAACGTTGGCATTTACCTTGGGGGATCGAATCAGACACCAGGGTTTCTTAGGTGGTGCGAAATGGATTTCGCAACCATCCACAGTATGATTACCTGTTGCCGTTGAAATTTACAATTAAATGTTGTTTTTAAATATGTACTACTCTTTTGGGAAGTTGAACAAAACCAAACATTACATGAGTCTGGGGTTTGGGGAATACTCTGGAGTTAAAGTTTTCTTTCCGATCTCGCTTTTCCTGTTCGGTTCCTCGTTACGCATTGTTGATCCTGGGATCTCATTGGCAACGTTATATTTCGAGGGGTGTGCGGGGGGGGGGGGGGAGGGTAAGTGCGGGTTAAGTTGGGGCAACGCCAGCCACACCCGCCAAGAGGCCAGTGACTGGTAAACGGGCTACAAGCAATCGCATAATTCAAGGGCTTCGTCCCTTCATCTTCCAGTGCTTCATCGGTCGTCGGCATAGAATGTTGGTTGGACAAACGCCAACCGTGGGTCTGTGCTTTTTGGTAGCTCTAAAGGGAGCCAAAAGGACCCCACCCATTCTGGGGGTACCTTTGGCACCAGCTGCTTGGAAAACACGATTGGACACTGCTGGGATGGAGCTCAGAACGCCCATCGACTTGTAGAGGAATTTCTTTTGGCAAGCCCCCCCCTGAACAAAAAAACACCTGGTAGCAAAGAGTAGTCTGAAACCCCACACGTGTGTCTTTTCGGACCTGCAAATGGTGGCTTTCCTTCTGGTTTCCCTTTGCAAGCACAAAAAGGAACCCTCCAGAAAAAACACTCCCAAATCGGAAACCGGGCACACCAGAGACGCGTCCAAACCACATGTTGCGACGAAGCCGTTTGAGCTCCCAGGCGGCTTGCTGCTAAAGAGGCGGTTCAAGCCTTGGCTTGATGGGGCTGGGAGAAATGCGAGTCTTGGCTAGGAAAAACGACTTGGACCCATCGCGCAGTGACCCAGCCTCCCAACAGGGCAGTGTATTTTTGGGGGGTTCTTGGGGGCAAATCATTCTTTCTTGCTTCCGCCACGCTTTCGTCGCCTGCGCCAGATGTGTGGCCACTCTTCTGCGCGACAAGACGCCTGCCTACGCGCCTGCGCGACAATGCGCATCAACACATTTTAGGGCTGCGCAAACTTGCATCTACCCCCCCCTCCCCCACCCCCCCGGTTGGCTCTTGGACGTCATGCTTGCGAAATGCCTCCTACACAAAGCTGACGCGAAGCCGCAACGAAATCTGCCTGACTCTTTTTGAAAGTTGTTCACAAGCCATTTCTCAATGACGTTTCACATCACACCCATTCAGAAAGCATATGCTGCCACGCAACAAACCAACCTATCAAAGCATCGCCTACGCGATTGCCTTCGCAACGTGTACAACATGTGCCAACAAAGATGTGGCCCTCTGTTCTTGGACAAAACATGCGGCCCAACTGGCCCACCAAACCCCGAATCAGTTCTTCCCATTACTTGTCCAAGCAAACCTCCCCTAAACCAAGCCTCCTCAGCTGCCAGCCCAGCTTGCGCGAACAGCAACACAAAAAGTGGCACTCTAAAACCATAGTTTGCAAGGAAAACCCCTTCTTCCCGCAACCAAAATGGTACGTGTCAAAAGGGGGGAATTCAAACATTGACAACCAAAGGAAGCCTTCCCCAATGGTCACGTCAGGTTCTATGTGGGAGGGCAAATGGAAACCAAAGGCAGCCCTTCACCAATTGACGCGTTGCCAAGACCCGACTCGCACGGTGCGATTGTCGTTTGGGCGGGCAAAAAAAAGGCAACTCCGGGGATAAAACTTGCCAATGCTCAACCCTCTTTTCATCATCTTTTGATTGGCTCGGAGCAACCCGGAGGCTTGGAATTCCAAAAGCATAGCCCAGAGGGTGGCACCAAGTTGTTGTGCCCTTCCCTTGAAACAAACACACTTTCTAAGGATGGTACTGACACCCATTTGGGTATGTGTCAAAACCGGGTGCTCCCAAAACATGAGTTTTTCCTTGAGTTTTCCCTTTACACCTGCCCCAAATTGGTACCCTCGGAAAACACAAACCCGTTTTCACCCCTCGAAGTACCGTTGTAACCAAGGGAGTTTTTGGGAACCTTTGTTGTCGGTCATCTGTCAAAGCAAAAAACCATTGGCTCGGCTGGCCGAACGCTGGGCGTTTCTCTTCTGGACGCCGCTTCGGTTTTTTGCAGCTCGATTCCAACCGGGCTCCCCCGCCCAGGAGCTGGAACATGGGGTCCATGTCCGCGAGCCGCACCAGCATGTTGCTCTTCCGCACCGAGCCCAGGAGCCGCAGCCTCAGCAAAGAAGCGGAAAACGGCAGCCAAGCGGCAACCAAGCGGGCACCCTGGGTGTGGGGGGGGGAGCAAGAGACCAATTTGTGCGTGCCCTTAAGGAAGCCTCATGTCCCAAGTGTGCGGTTCTGCTCCAGCTTCGTCGTCGGCTCAAGTTTGGGTATGAAGCTGGAATCTGGGGTGAGGGTGAGGCTGGGAAGCGGACGCAAGTGGCGGCCGCGATTTCTCGCCCAAAGATACCGCAGGTCAGGTCATTCACTTGCTCAGATGGTTTTCCCAAAAAAGTCGTTATCGCTTTCCCCACACTTTGTTCAAGCTGGGGTCATTTGTTTTCAGACATCAAAAAGACGTAGCGGGAACTGGACATGGGTTGATCCCCATTCTTTTCTCCCAGTCTTATCAAATAGCGAAGCTGACGAGACAAAAGCCTCCCCCCAATGGACATTTAGTGGAAGATTCAGCCAATTCAACCCGGACCGAGAGTATTGGATTTTTAACCTCAAATAAAAACCCAGGAAACTCGCCCATGGTGCCAACAACTCGTGGCCCACTTGGGGGGTAGGCTTCCTTTCGAACACAAAAAAGAGTATGTGATTTACGTTTAGAAGCAACCTGACACCAGCGCCATCTTTTTGCAGCCTCCTGGCCTAAAGGACACGATTAAACTCGCTTATCTTAGAGCGGCATCCTCGAAATCCCAGAGTCAGTGGTTCAAAGTTTAAAGGAAACACACAGCGCCGGAACATCCCCCCGCAACAAACAAACAAAGCAAAACAACACTGCTAAAGCAAAACAAATGGCGGTATCCCTTGTGGTCCGCACCTACCTGTTCGCTTCAAGGCACCCAGTTCAGTCTTGGTGCGCTTTTCTGAGGGCACCTTCGGGCACCCGTGAGCTCCCGGCATCTCGTAGCGCGTGCGAGCCTTGGATTGGGCCCCCACGAGCTTCCCTTTATACCAACCTGAAAAGCGTCGAAGACCAACCAACATCCAAATAAGGAACTCCCCCCCCAAAAAAAAACCGCCATCCTCATGTTGCGCTCGATATAGTTTGCCGAGGTTCATGTGTCTCGGGTGGTGCTTGGATGACTTCAACCATTTTCTGCAGGGATGCTTCTTTCTAGAAGAGCACTACTCACGCCACGAATGTTACGGCTGTTTGCCTCTCAGGCGGACCTTGCAGTCGCTAGCCTCTTTCTTCAACTCTTCTGCCTTTCTTCGTTGAGTCCTCACCCTCTTCCACCTTTTCCAAGTGAATGGTCTTGACATTCCCGGTTGCGTCATCTGTCTGAATGCGCAGATCGGTGACCATTTTTTGAAGCGGCCCGCTTTGCGCCGAAGGTGAGATCAGGTTGCAGGGGTGCCAAGAGGGCCCCTTTTGCTATCCATGAAATGTGGCCCTACAAGAATCATTTGAAGATTCTGGTGTTGGTTGGTTTTGAAGGGAATCGGGTCAACGTTACTCACCACTGTGCCTAGTGCCATACAATAAAACCCAACCCAAAAGGAAGGCACCAAATCAACGGATCAACATGACACATAATTGGCGGGTGTAGGGCGACGGTACGCTTCGAACAACTATAAACAGATCAAACGCCTTTCAAGACGATATCCCGAAACAGGCCCGAATCAAAGGGATCTAGACCGTTCAAAATGGAGGGTTGCGCCATTCTGTTCAAGCAACCACTGCAAACTTTAAGCACCCAGGCCCGGGGCTTTTGGCTGTGACAGATATGGGTTGTCGGGCATCCTGTCTGCGGGTACTCTTTTTTTTCCGGGTGGGCTATAGGGAAAACCAAAGGGAAGTTGAGGGTCCGATTCATATTTCAAGACACATAGCGAGTTTTTCCAGGCCATGCAGCAAAGGTCATAACCTTCTCATTGCGAGTCGGCGGCTCTGGCCCGATGTCTGTCCCTGAATTTGGTATGACCCAAACAAGTGGTTACCCTTTGGTTTCCCCCCAACAAAAAAACAACCCACACAGGGTTCCACAAAAGCTGCACACAGCCATAGTCACACAGTTTTCTCGTTTTTCCTCGAACATCGAGTGAGTAGCCTGCCTGCACCTATGTCCCTCTCAAATGGACCTAGGCTGCCAGTAAGTTTGACCGAACCTAGCCCCGAAATCTGAAGCGGCTATGACTTTTAATCGGGACCCCGGTTTCCAAGCAAGATTCCCAAGTGGATGTGACTCAAAATAGAGAAACCCCTACAACATCGCGGTTGCCCCTTTGGCCTTCCTTCAAACCCCCAAAAGGGTACCGGGCCATGGCCCAGGTTCGAGAGGACTTTCGAGGTCCTGGCCTTGCAATCCTCTTTGTGCATGATGTCTTCATCCGCCCCTCGAGCGCTCGGAGAGCCGAGAGAATGTGAGACCTGTGGACTTCCCAAGCAGAAAAAAAAGGCGGGCCCAAACGTGAAGCTTCTGGAAAAATCACGATAACCAAAGAGGCGTCCCTTGGGGCTTCTGATTTGATACATTTACCCGCCCGGCTTCTGGTTGATTTGAAAGGGACAAAACACCCTCCCACAAAAAGGAGCACATCATGGGAACTGCCAAAGGAGTCGCAATCAAGTCACGCCTCAACAGCTAGGAGCTTGAAAGGGGGTCTTTCACGAAAACGTCAAAAGAGTCGACCCCAAACCCAAGAAGCATAAGGACTTGCCTCTTAAGTTCCACTTATCCGGGTCTGACTCAACTAAGCACTTGTCAATTAATCCTTGATCCCCGACTTACTCTTTTCTTCCAAGCGTTTATTGTTTCGAAGAGCAGGGTTGGCAATCTTGTGTGAGGAGCAGTTGTGTTTTCGGACGCGGGCTCTCCTGCCCAATTTGTCGAGGTCTTGTGAAGCCAGCCCAGCATGCAAACTCAACGACTCCAAACCCGGAGTCAGAAGGGAGCGTCTCTGGATTCGAAAGGGGCTCCAACAGGCAACCAACAATTTGAAGGGATCTTTGTTTGGAGCCCGAATCCGTTCATGAGACAACCGGAACTCGTCTGACAAGGCCGGAATCGGTCGGTCTGTTCTAGTTGGTTCAAAGAAAAGAGCGGCCTTCTGGATTTGGAGATCAACCAAAGTAGACCAGCCGATCAAGTCCCAAACTTCAAATGAAACAAGTCCAACACTTTGAGTAAGAACTGAATCCCCAAACCTACATCATGAGCTCCTTTCTGGGTGTCGCAACAAAAACCCTGGGAATCCTCAGCCTTGCCCTAAGCCCCAAGCAAAACAACTGAATCTAACCTTTTGGAGGACAAGATTTGGAGGCAGCCGCAACTTCTTCTGATTAGTTAATCGGCTCTAGTTCCCAATCTCATATTGAGAGAAAAGGCAATCAGTCTTGCCTCGTTGGGCACTCTTTTTTGAAGAACGCCAAAAGATAATCCCTCAGTTTAAGCAAACAAACGTTGGGTTTCCTGGTGGTTCTCTTTACACAAAAGGCCGCCTTGATGGGAATCTGTCCCAAATCCTGTTCTGCAGATTGACCCGGGACCCAACAAACCACCACCTTTGCTCAGCAGCTGATAAGGTCTTTGCAACCGCGACATAGCTACATGGAATCCAAGGTTGGTCCTTTGTGGAGCCCCCCCGCCCCCAAGAAAAACTCGTTCTCCTTTGGCCTCCCTACAAGAAACATATATAAGAACAGCACAACGACTACTTTTCCTCACGCATGATGTTGACCCAGGCTGAATAAACCTGGCAGACGGATTTCCGATTTCCGGGAACTCCCGGCCATCGGCCGTGCCGCAGCTGCAGATTTCTGTCATGGGTGCCAGCACCATCTCTGTCTGGGACGCGGAGGGCTAAAAAAAAAACGCCGGCGAATTCGAGACCAAGAACGATCCAGAAACCAAAGGAGCGAAAACCGGGCCCTGGGCAATTTCAAACAATGGCTTGGCGGTTGACTGAACATGCAAGAGCATGCTGACGGAGGCGTGACGGAGGGGTTCTGCACGAGGCAAACCGCCGGGAAAGTTCAGCGGAAAGTGCACTCTGAAGCGCAGCAAGACCCTCTAGAACGTACGTGGTTTTCCCCAGCTATTCGGGGTTCCTACTTCCAAAGAGGGGCAGGTTGGTGCTGCAAAGGCGCTGTGGTGGTTGCTGGCAGTGCCTGTCTTGCGATGCAGCCTGGATGCTGCCGAGGTTGCTGGCCAAAGTGCTGCTGGTGTGCTCAAGGTTGCCGTGCTTCTTTGGAAATGAAGGCAGGTGTGCTGTTCTTGGTCTGGGCCAGGGTGCTATTTGGGTGCTGGTGATAGGTGCTGCTTTCAGCTTTCCCACAAACTAGCCCTTGGTCCAGTTTTGGTGTTTTCCGGAAAGGATTCCGGAGTTCAGAATGGGATGCTGCCCCCAAATAGACGCATGCAATATTGCAAGCAACCCACAGCAGCTAGGGAAAGCAAACAACAACAGGGGTGCAAGGCAGAACTCTGGCCCTGGAAAGGAAAACAACAGGACCTAATGCCACTTATCCACCCGTGTGGTTTGGTCGCCGTTTTGAGGTTCAGAGCGATCCTGAAGAAAATATGAACCTGGGCCCACGATCTCACTGGGGGCATTGGCTGTGCTTGGCACCTGAGAAACCCGGGCTTGAGCTTGGTGTCTGGACCCAAAGAGGGCCCGGAAAAACGGGGCTTCGTTTTGAGCTGTTGGAAGCTAGGGTTTCCTGAATCTCTCGGGACACGCAGTTGAAATGGTACGTATGAAAACAACCCAAGATTCTGACTTCAGCCCAACAGTAGCAAGGTCCATGGTCCAAATCACCAGGAGAAGGCTACAAAGAGGAAAAGCGTGGGTTGCAGTTGCCCAATGACCCTTGCAGAAAAGGGGAAGTGACATCCCCCTCCAAAACGAAGTCGAACAGGAACTTCACCTCTTGGTCCAAGTTCAAACTGGCTTCCAAACCCCAAACCCCCATTTCATTCTGCAGGTTTGTTGAGGTTAAAGCGACCCCCCAGGAGGGCCTCCCGTGCACCGGTGCACCGGTTTCTGGGGTCTCGCGCATCGGAGCCGGCGGGCATGCCCCCCATCTGCCTGGCAGTACCGGCTGCGGGTCAAAACCGAATCGGTGCCTTCCCTACCAGATTCCCTGCAAGAAAGGACCAAACGCTTCGGGGGGGGCACAAAAAGGGTATCTGGGGCTTTGACCCGCAACTCTGGGAGTGGGGCTTATCCTCCAATTTGGCGAATCTTAGATTATAGGGAACCACCTCACAAACAGTCAAGTCGGTGGACCCTAAATGCTCCACCAAGCTGTCCCCTCTTGGCATCTCATAGAGTGTTCCTAAGGAGGAACATCGAACCATCATGAAAGGCCATGCTGAAAATCACGAGCGGAATCGAGGGTTGGCAAATCTTCACGTGGGAAATGGCGGTGGCTCAACAAATGTACCAACATGGCATCTGAATCTTGGTCAAGTGGAACCAAAGACTTAGAGCCACACCTAAACGCGGTCCGCTGGTTTACCCATACCCAACTGACTCTATCCAAGGAGCCCCGCAAAAAACGAACCCCCCCCAGCCTTGGGGGGGGGAACCGTTCTCCCGGGGCAACGGTGCCAAACGCCATGCACCCAGCTCTCCGAGCCATGCCGGTACCGCCCACTGCCAATGTCTGAATAGCCTCGTGCCGGCACGCCGCGTGCTTCTTGGGCTAGGGGCACAGCGCACTTCTAACTCCCTGGTCACCAAAGCACGAGACTCGCCGCAAGATTTTCTATTCAAACAGAACTTAAGGGGGGAGACGATTGCCCTCCATGTTTATAGACCCCAAGCAACCCAGGTCATGGGTGTGGGTGGGTCTTTTTCTTCAAGGGAACCATCCCCCTATGATTCTGAGACAAACCCCGTACCTGTGGCTTCTTGTCGTTACAAACACCTCGAAAACGGCTTTGGGCTTTGAAGTTTGGGCGCTTGGATCCCTGGCAACAGAGATTGACGATCAAAGCTTAAGCTTCACGTGGGACCAGTGACACTTGTAGACTAAGCGGTTCTTCTTTTTTCCGGGGGGTGGGGAACGATCTTGGTGAACCCATCAAACAAAGGGCTATTTAATGAACCGCTGGGCGCCACTGGGCGCCACTTGGAAGGGTTTATCATGTTGAGCTGCACGGAACCTCAGGCTGAGAGGAAACTCAGCAAGCGAAGCAGGGAATCCACACGTGGCTGAGTGCAGCTAGGTCTTGATCTGGGTTTGTCTCAAAATGGACCCCCATTTTCTCAAATGGGTGATTCGCTGTTGGTGTGCCTTTAAAACCAACCAAAAAGGCGCCCAGGGATCCCTCCAAAGTGTGGTCCTCTCAATCTGTCACGGGGATGTCCCGTGAGCTGGGGTGGGTTGCCTTGTCGGGACGTGCCGCCTTACAAAACGAGGCTACCAGGATCCCGAAACAAGGCCCCTGATTTTGACAAACCCACACCCCCACCTAAATTCTGGCTGCAACGGCTTGTTAAGCAACCCCAAAGGCTTGGAGTACTTACAGGAGCTATGCTCACGAGAAACATAGGGAGGCCAGCATGACACATTGACGGTTCCAGCTGGTGGGTTTCACCGGCAGCATGCCTACTTTGGACGCACAGGGGTTGCTGCACTGCTACGCGTCTGCCGCATGTAATGCATACATCCTGGCAACGCCGCTGCAATTCCAACTTGGAGAACTGTGAACAACACAGGATCTGACGAGCGACATCTATCAACACACTGAGCCATGTCGACGTCAAACGCATGATGCGTTTGACATATTGCACAGGGACAAGCAAACACCAGCAACGGCCACATCAGCAAACGCAACGCCAACCACGAATACCACACGCAGATCAAACCACAACTCCAGCTAGATCATGGCAAGCCGTAACTATTACGCAACCTCTTTCGACTGGTTGCTTCACTTTCAACAGCCCGGCCCAGCTGGTCCCTTACCTGACCCAAGGAACCCCCTCACAAGGCAAGGCACTTTAAGGGGGCAGGGTTGCTCAGGTTTTTGGGGGGGAACTTCACCACAGCCACCGGTCAAAATCTATGGTGGACATGGGACAATGCGCTTGCTTCACATTTCGAACGCGTTCGTCCCGAAGCCCAAATTGGGAGCACAGACAAATCCGAGTGAACTTGGGAACCATTCTCCCTCCGAAGCCGTTGAGCTGCCCCTCCGGCGATTTTCCTAGAGCAACCTATAAACTGGGGATTCATAACGTGAAGATATCATACATTCAGCCTACACCCATACCGTCCACTCACTGCCTTCGGGGACGATGTCAAAGCCCTGACTAAAACAGGAGGTATTTAACATAGACGACCGGGTATTTGGAGCAGAGAGCACGACAGCCAGGACATTATAAACAACCACACACATAAATGTCAACCCGGGATGAATAAACCCTTGGTTGATTTTGTTTGGGAGGTGTCCTCTTTGGGATTTGCAGCTTTTGGGAGGTGCCCCCACCTTCCTAGCAAACTGATCCAACATGGGAGATCGCCGGTTTTCTTTTGGCTTTTCCCGACTCGGCGGGTTGTCGCCTCAACGAGCCCCGACTTCCGTCGACTTCGTGTCGTGTCGGCTCATGGCTGGGTGGCCCGGGCCATCGGTGGTGTCCTGGGCCTCGGGGGCGAAGAGCGCTTCGCCCTCGTTCTCCTCCTCGTGGCCGTCCTGAAAAAGCAGCCGCCATTCTCCCCGGCAGAAGGGACTGAAGCACGGGGTGGCTGGTGGAAAAAGAATTGGTGGACAAAACGGGGGGAAAGACTGGGTGGTGGAAAGGCTAGGGTGAACGACCCCTGCGTTAATTACGCTGTTCGGTGTCCTCTTGTTTTTGATCAAATGGGGTTGCGGCCTCTCTGGGCCAATGTGAGGCTGAAAGATGGTTGGGCATCTTTCAACCACTAAACGAAGACAACACATACAAGCTAAGCTTAGAAGTCTGAAAGCTTGCGTTGGTAAAGAGACCCCCCCAAAGACTTCTGGGCGAATGGAAATCCAATTGAACACCGGCTCGATCAAATCGAACCCGTCCTCGTGGGAGTTGCGGTCCAAGTCCTCCTCGTGGGCTCGCTTCTCCTGCATGGGAAGCTTGTCAGGAACCAAACAAAATTGGCCAACCGCGCTAGCTAGGTCCTCCAGCAAACAGGTAAGAACAAGCGTACGTTTTTATCTTCTGTAGTCTATTTTAGCAGGGGAACCCTCCCCAAAAAAGGGTAAAAGGGCACTACTGGGGGACCACGCTAGGGTGAGGTAGATGGCATTCTGGCCTTGATTTGAGAAGGTACAGGGGAGGGCAGAACTGAACTTGAGGAATGTTGCCATGTACTTTCACCCAACATCTCAAGTGCAGAAGTTCAGCCCTCTCTACCATCATGATGTGAGTACAGGGGAAAATGCACACACACACACACATAAGATGCTACCAAACTTTGACCCAAACATATTGTGCATGGACGACACTCCTGCACCACCTTTTCGGAAACCCTTGCTTCTGATTTGATTCCCCAACGCAAATACCAACCAACCATGGTTTCAACCATGGTATTCCCCAAGCATGGTTTCAACCATGGTTTCTTAGGTGCGACCTGGATTTCGCAACCCTCGACCGTGCCGCTTTTCTTTTCTGCCGGAGGCCGCCCCATCGCTTCGATCCCCGGTTTTACACCGGCGGGGCCTGCCGCGCCAGGGCGCCTTTCGCCCAGCGGGCGAGGAGCTGAATGACCTGCGCGGCAGCCGGCGGATCCCGGTAGCCCCGGTGAGGGGGGGGAGGGGGGTGAATCCAATTGGCCCAAAAGGGGTCCAAAAGTGGCTTCTGGTGTGATTGTGTAAAGATGCTCCTTTTCAAACGCTGGATTCCCAAAACTCAGGGCGGAGAGGAATCGGGGATCAAGCTGTAAAGGCGTGCAGCCCAATAAATACCACACCTCGTGTCACCTTACGGGGGGGGGGGCAAAAAGGGGGGTCAGGGAATCACCAGGTACTTGGACCCTCTGGGGTCTCGACCGTTTCTGATATGGCCTTGACAACTTCAGCACCCGGGATGGTACTGATAGCTTCGGAATGGAGGACCACCCTCTGACCTGAGTGTGGTTCCCTTGGGGAAATGAAATCTATTGCAGTGGGACCCAACCCTTGGCTGCTGTCAAACGATCTGCTCTGAGTCCCCATGCGAAACATAAGAAGCAAACCTGGAACATCGAGCAATGCACAGTATAAGACGAATAGAATTAAACACATTTACATGGGGGCTCAGCGGGGCTATTGGCAGGGCTATTCTTGGATAACTCCAAGTCTCTGGTAAGACCTCCAAGATAGTCCCCTTCCCCGCGCTCCCCCTAGGTCCAGGATTGGGGGGTTCTTTCCCCCATGAAGGGACGGCAAGGGGCACCCTGTTGTTAACCCGTTTTGGGTCTGCTGCCTCTCGGGCTTTGGGGCCCAAAACCGTGCATCGCTCGCCTCGATCTCGCTGATCACCGGCAGCTCGTCGGATCGCAGCAGGGCCTCTACGAAGGACCTCGGGAGTTTTTGAGTCGCTCGGCGCCGGCGGAGGCTCGATCCGGAGAGGAGTTGCTCCATGTGGCAAGTTCGCGTGTTTTGCGTGTGTGTAGGTGTAGGTGTAGGTGTGGGTGTGGGTGTGGGTGTGGGTGTGGGTGTGGACATGGGCGTGGGCGTGGGCGCGGGCGCGGGCGCGGGCGCTGTCGCGGGCGCGGGTGCGGGGGCGGGGGCGGGGGCGGGGGCGGGCGCGGCTGCGGGTGCTGGTGCGGGTGCCGGTGCGTGTTCGTGCCTGTGCGTGTGCCTGTGCGTGTGCCTGTGCGTGTGCCTGTGCGTGCCTGTGCGTGTCTCTGTGCGTGTCTGTGTGTGTGTCTGTGTGTGGTGTCTGTGTGTGTCTGTGTGTGTCTGTGTGTGTCTCTGTGTGTCTGTGTGTCTGTGTGTGTCTGTGTGTGTGTCTGTCTGTGTGTGTCTGTGTGTGTCTGTGTGTGTCTCTGTCTGTCTGTGTGTGTGTTTCTCTGTGTGTGTGTGTGTGTCTATGTGTCTGTGTCTGTGTAGAGGGGTGTGTAGCACTAACCGTTATATTATAGAAAGGCCACGTCCCAGGCCCACGCCGTAAACATCAGCACCGGGCTTGAAGTAGTGGGCTTGAAGCAGTTGGCTATGATGTCACGAAGTTTCTGAACCAAAGCACAGCGCTCGCTTGCAGCGGCGAGTGTGCACAGCTCCGTCTTTGTTTGGAGTTGGTAATCTTTCTTGGGTTGACTCTTGGAAATCACCGAATCTTTCCTAAAGTTAATTTAAACATCCCGTGAACTAAATACAAAGCGGGAGTTGGCACCCTTATACTCCGAATGGGTTGCCCTGGTATCTAAATGGAAACATGGACTAGAACACTGCGGTCCAATTGGTTTTGACCCATACTTATGTGTTTTCGGGGGCTCGTTTGGCTTTGCTCTCGGGACGTTTTGGACATCGGTCGGCTCCCTCCGAGTTCCCAGCACTGGCAGCTGATCGAAGTGCTCTTCAGCATCTCGGGGGGCGAAAACTGACTTCAGGATGGGCAAGAGGCTTCCAACAATATCTCCAAAAACCACCGGGTACCCTTTTTACCAAAAGATGATTTATGGAGGTAAAAAAGAAGCTCGGGCTTGGAAAAATAAGGGGGTTGCCCTCCAAAATGGCTGGTGGACCTACCTCACCATGGAAATGATGCCCACGATTTGGGTTCTCAATAAAGTCACATGAATTCAAAGGGCGACCAACCTGCTCTTTGTCGACTGCTCCCTACTCTCCTATGTTGTCTTGTGTCGCCGAGATCGCCGCCGGTTCCGCCCCTGAAATGATTAGAGGCTTCAGTACGGTGGGACAAACTGGGCACCATGGATGAACGCTCTCAGCCCCTGTCCCAGCCGGCTTCCCCCCAAGAAATTTTTGGAAGTGCGCCGAAACCCTGAGGTGAGTGATGTGGTACCCCAAACCTGACCACGCTGCCACGAAGTCAAACTCCAAGTCAGGCATTTCTTGCTCGAGCTCTGGAGAGCCGCCAAACGCATCTGCATCTGCAGCGTGGTCAATGTAGGCAGCTGAAGTGCGGTATTTTTCTGCCTAGCACCCGGGCCCACTCCTGTTTGTTCAGGTACCACATTTTGGGTCCTTTTGAGGGGAACCTCAAGGGAAAGACCTTATCTTAAGGGATTCGCTTTTGGAGACTAACTGCATTAACCAAGCCTCAGCTTCTGGTCAATATTTGGTACTGATCTCATTCTTGACGTCATTCTGAAAAGCCAACGCTGCTGCAGATTTGGTCTGCTGCTTCAGATTTGGTCTGCTGCACCAGTTCACGAATTGCATCCTGCACTGCACCAATCTGCTTGTCATGCTCTATCTTCGCCTCAGGCGGCATCATTCGTGTTTGAGACATGCCCTTCCTTGCGTTAGTTCAGCGCAAGCTGAGCGGATCAAGATCATGGCCAACCGGCTTAACCGAATCGGCGAGCTCGCCAAAAGTCAGAGATGAGTAAGCTCGCAAAGGTCGGCTTAACCGACTGACTGAGCCAAATCCCTCGAGCAAGTAGTTGTTTTCTTTCCTCTGGTCCTTTCATTTGCTTAAGAATATTATTTACTTTCCCCTGTTGATTATTGAAGGGAATCGATCACTGCCGAAAATATGTTCTATTCGCCAACATTGTTCGGCGTGTCGGATACCTAAGAGAGGATAGAGGACAACTACGAAAAAATAGTTTTCCGGCACCGCCCATGTGCTTGCAGCAACCGCACCCAAGGTCTTTCTTGGTCTGCTGGTGTGCCGGGCCCTGTTGTAGTAGAGATGATGGCACTTCCACCACCCAGCAACTTGATAGAAGCTGCTGTCCATTTGACCTTGGTCAGCCAATCTCGCACGTCCTGAAGGCTCACTTGACACAAAGGACCCCCCTTGTCGGTTCATGAAGGCAACCGCTGCCCAAAAAAAGGGGGCAGCTTGGCACTTGCAGCGGGGGCCCGGAACACGCCCATTGGGTTGAGTCCGACCTGCTTCGATCAAAGGCTCTCCGAAAGATGAAGTTGCGCTGGATACTCTGAATATGGTAAGTAACCAATCATACTTAACCACAACACCATGGTCAATCACACTGAACTAGAGGGTTTCCTTGTTCCCTTCATTGCAATATGGGTGTCTTTCTTTAGGCCCCCCCGGCACTAAATGATGTTTTTGTTTGGTTTCCTGTAAAACCAACAAAAAGCCGGCACCCTCTTAAAAGTCGACACACCTACATCGCCGTACCACAAACTCACAGACGCCTTTGCCCTCCCCGAAGGAATGGCCTGCGGTGACCAGTGCGAAGTGGCCTCGGTGGGAGAAAAACCGGGGCCAATGAGCCTCCCCCCTCAAAAGCTGCAATTTACTGTTGGCTTCCCGTACCACTTTTCTAGGTCTCAGGGATTTTTGTGCGATGTTTAAAGGGAAACAACCCCCAAAAGAACGAGAACCCAAAATTCCACGTTGAGCCCAGTCCATGGAATTCGGAAGCACCTTGGTTTCAACCAGACGCTCTTCGGGGAACTTTGCTCGAGGTAAGCCATTTTAACGGGGTACCACCACACTTTCGACATGTGCGGCTGGAGGGAAATGCCCTTTACAAGTTGCAAGACCGAATCAAACGTTCGTTTTCAGCCGTCCTTTTCTGCCACAGTGAGTTGAGTGGGTTCGAAGGAAAGGGTTGAAGCACCAGCACTGCGAACATATCTCTGTGATGAGTCTGAAGGTTCGCCGTACTCCAAAAGACAAAGGCCTTTGTTGAGGACGTTTGTTGTGAACACCATCCGAT